TTTTTGTGTGTCGGGCATGTGTAGAATCACTCATGTGCTTCACCTTGTGTGGGACCCCTGAAGTCCTACTCCTTGTCAAGTCCTTCCTTCTCTTCCGCGGCAGATTGGCAGTTCAGTTTCGCATATTACATGTTTGGCAGCAACATGGGCGAACTTGTCCTTCAAGGGTGGTCACAGGACAGTTGGGCCACCATATGGCAAATTTCCGGGGATCATGGAGCGGCTTGGCACAAGGTGGATGTGAACATACCTTTGTTGGCTTCTCAGTTGATATTTGTGTCAAACACTTCAGTGGGGGACATCGCCCTTGATGCTTTTGAGTCACTTGGCTTTCGTTGCAGCAGTTTCTGTTGTCAACATGGGGATGGGTCAATACTTATGAGATTATTATTTAGGGGGATGAACATTTACCAGCCGATCTGATGTTCACCAGGATACTCGTATCATGGTTTTGACCCACAACCACATGGCCATTTGCTGGTAGCCACTGATCTTTTTTTGAATGCCATGTTGAAAATTACATGACTCTTTGCCACGATCAGTAGCCCATAAATTCGATACACACTCCACTGTGCTCTACATGCACCCTTTCTTCAGAAAATGCTTTTGGAAGAAATTGAGAAACAAGGATTGGCTTTATCGTCCTTTCCGGGCCATGCACGTCCACCACTGGCTGCATCCAGAGCCCCAATTATCCCAACGATTACAGCAACTCTCAGCTTTGTGAAATCGCAGCTCCAGCGAAGCCGCTTTACTCAACTCACTTTGCGACAGAGGGCGGCTATGACATCTTGACGGTTGATGGTGTGGCCTATTCCGCCTCTTCAGGGCCTCCGCAGGGGACTATCACATCTGAAATCATCCACTGGAGCTCCGATGGAAGCATTGCTTCAGGTCGGTGGCAGATATGCATTGCAAGTGGACTGCAGCTTGGCTGATTTGTAATCAGATATAGTCAGGAGATTGGAACTCCAGCAAAAATAACTTCCTTCGGCAAAACAAGCAGAATCCTGCTTGCGCCACCACGAATGACTTTCAAATAGCGGCAGGTGTATATGCATATACGATATGACCAAATCCTGTTCCAGGATGTTCCAGGGTGGTTCTATGGCTGGTTCTTCTGGAGCGGTGTGGTGGGCTGTGGTCCTTCTGGAGGTTAAGTTTTGCCCCGGGCCCGGCTGGTTGCTGCAGAGGTTCTGGTGCAGGTTCCAGATGTTCCGGAGGCTTCAGCTTCAGTCTGTGTGTTGAGGCAAGTGCTTCTGTTGCTTCTTCATTTGCTGCCATTGGCCTTCCTATGTCATGGCCTATTGCCATCCTCTCCTGTTGAGGGTCCCCTACACTCCTCTAAGTTGGGATCAAGCCCTCTTCTTCTTTCCTTGAGCGTAGTTTGTTGTTGAACCTGTTTCCTCTTTCCTGTTGTTGTATTCGTGGTCTTTGTTGTATTGGGCTGCTACCCAAGTGCTCGTTGTTCTTGTTTGTTGGAGCTCACCTGGATGCTTCCAGGATCACTGCTCCGCTACCATGAAAAGATTCAAGGCAGCCTGTTGTCTCTGCTGTTGCAGTACGCGCCTTTTCTGCTGTACTGTTGGATCCTGGCTCAAGGCCTAAATGTTGCTCGGAATGTGCAGATGCACAACTGACATGTTGGGAGCGCGTGTTGTCATTTAACAATATGCATACAATGTGACCAAATCCTGTTGTGCTGGACAAATAAGGACAAACCTTATTGTAGTTTCTGGTCTGTATCCTTGATTTTGAAGTATCCATCGCAACCCTTTCGCACGAAATGGACGTTGGACGTCAAAAACTGCGGTAAAATTGCGATTTTGAGGTGTCCATTGCAACCCTTTCGCACGAAATGGACGTTGGTCAAAAACTGCCGTAAAATTGCGATTTTGAAGTATCCATCGCAACCCTTTCGCACGAAATGGACGTTGGACATCAAAAACTGAGGTAAAATTGCAAATTTGAGGTGTCCATCGCAACCCTTTCGCACGAAATGGACGTCGGACGTCAAAAACTCAGGTAAAATTACGTTTTCACGGGTCCGGTCTCTGTATGTAAAAGCGTCTGTGTGCAAACGCCTCTGTCTGTGTGTAAAAGCTTCTGTGTCTGAAAGCGTCTGTGTGTAAAAGTGCCTGTGTGTAAAAGTTTCTCTGTGTAAAAGTGTCTGTGTGTAAAAGTGTCTGTGTGTAAAAGCGTCTGTGTGTAAAAGCATCCGTGTGTAAAAGTTTCTGTGTGTAAAGGAGTCTGTGTGTAAAAGCGTCTGTGTGTAAAAGTGTCTGTGTGTAAAAGTGTCTGTGTGTAAAAGTGTCTGTGTGTAAAAGCGTCTGTGTGTAAAAGCGTCTGTGTGTAAAAGCCACTGTGTAAAAAGCCTCTGTGTGTGAAAGTGTTTGGGTGTAAAAGCTTCTGTGTGTAAAAGTTTCTGTGTGTAAAAGTGTCTCGTCTGTGTGTAAAAGCGTCTGTGTGTAAAAGCCTCTGTGTGTGAAAGTGTTTGTGTGTAAAAGCCACTGTGTGTAAAAGTGTCTGTGTGTAAAAGCGTCTGTGTGTAAAAGCGTCTGTGTGTAAAAGCCACTGTGTAAAAAGCCTCTGTGTGTGAAAGTGTTTGGGTGTAAAAGCCTCTGTGTGTGAAAGTGTTTGTGTGTAAAGGAGTCTGTGTGTAAAGGAGTCTGTGTGCAAAAGCGTCTGTGTGTAAAAGCGTCTGTGTGTAAAAGCGTCTGTGTAAAAGTGTCTGTGTGTAAAAGTGTCTGTGTGTAAAAGTGTCTGTGTGTAAAAGCGTCTGTGTGTAAAAGCGTCTGTGTTACAAGCCTCTGTGTAAAAGCCTCTGTGTGTAAAAGCTTCTGTGTGTAAAAGTTTCTGTGTGTAAAAGCGTCTGTGTGTAAAGGAATCTGTGTGTAAAAGCGTCTGTGTGTAAAAGCTTCTGTGTGTGAAAGTGTTTGTGTGTAAAAGCGTCTGTGTGTAAAAGTGTCTGTGTGTAAATGTGCCTGTGTGTAAAGGAGTCTGTGTGTAAATGCTTTTGTGTGTAAAAGCGTCTGTGTGTAAAAGTGTCTGTGTGTAAAAGCTTCTGTGTGTAAATGCGTCCGTTGGATGCAAGCATGGAGTTTTTGTAACCGCGTTCTCTGTGCGAGCGGCATTCAACTTGATGTTGAAGCGAATCATTTGGTCGGAGCTTCAAGTGAATGCAGAGATGCATTTAAAGCAAAATACTGTCGGCATCTTTCTTCTGTGGATATGGTTTTGGATTTATTCTTTGGAGATTGATGGAGATTGTGTTTTGTGATTGTTCCATGTTCTGTAGGGGCTGTGTGTGGACATGGAACGGTTGCATTGAAAATTGAGTTCTGGTTTGTTCAAGTAGATGTTGAAGCGAATCGTGTGGTCGGAGCCTCAAGTGGATGCAGATATGCATTTAAAGCAATACTGTCGACATCTTTTTTCTGTGGATATGGTCTTGCATGGGCATTACAGGTTGTGAACATGACAGATCTACTTCCTCGCACCTTCACATCTGCTGATCTACTTCCTCGTACCTTCACATCTGCAGATCTACATCTTCACACCTTCACATCTGCTGATCTACTTCCTCGCACCTTCACATCTGCTGATCTACTTCCTCGCACGAAATGGATGTTGAACGTCAAAAACTGATGTAAAATTGCGATTTCAGTTAGTCCGCCGCAACCCTGTCGCACGAAATGGATGTTGAACCTCAAGTCTCCCTTTATTTGTCCTTATCCCTCTCCCTCTCCCTCTCTCTCTCTCTCTCTTTCTCTCCCTCTCTCTCTCTCTCTCTCTTTCTCTCTCTCTCTCTCACCCTCTCCCTCTTTCTCTCTCTCCGTTTGTCTCTCTCTCTCCCTCTCTCTCTCTCTCTCCCCATCTATGTCTCTCTGTGGTTGCAAGACACGTGTCATATGATGCCCTTTACCAAGCAGCACAATGCATATATATGCATGGGTTGTCACATGTATCCTCTTCTTAATCAATCCTACTTTTCACAACTTATCCCTCCATAGCTCATATAATACTCACCAACCATTCACCGACTATTTTTTACGACTACCATTATCAGAGCTGTTTGAAAAACGTTTTTTCCGCTCTCGGGCCAACCGTCGTCTAGTTGTGAAAAGTGCGACATTGTTTTAATTCATAAGTTGTTCTTAGTACATTCAAGTCAACGTGGTTTATTGGAACATGTTTCCCTTGTTTTTGATTCTCTCGGCTTCCTTCCTCGGGGTTCCAATGAGTCTCGAAAATTCTCGAAACCAAGGCCTCTTGCAACGGCGGTTTCGTGCAACTTTGAAACGCACAGCTGTGGTTGGCATTTTGCCCCTTCAGAGTGGGCCCTATCCAGTGGTTCAGTCCATGGTTTTGTCCCAGATGGCCAAGATTCTGTGGCGTTCACGAAGCTGCACTTGCCATTGCCCAACGTCCATGCTTTGAACCTGGTATACCGTTTTAGGTCATTTGGGAGGAACTTCAGATTCAACATCATGTGTTTGAAGTCAGCATTCACTTGGACTGTCATATGGACGACCCGGACCTGGCACAGTGCTGGTTTAGAAAATGACTGGCGAAAAGTCAAAATACTGGTCCCACAAAAAGCAATCCAACTGAAAATTGAAATTTCCGGTGGTGAAGTCTGGTTGCACAGCATCCTTCTCACTCCGTCTGTATTCGTGCCTTTCGCCCAAATTTCCACGGGGGCCGGACACTGTTGCATGTTGCAACTTGTTTCTGCACAAATATGGTGTTGGGGTACCAATTATGACGGTCAACTTGGGCAGGGCCACACCAACAACATTGGTGATCATTCCGGTGAAATGGGAGACAACCTCTTGGCCGTCGACCTAGGAACAGGCCGCACGGCCACACAAATTTCAGCCGGGGTTTCTCACACCTGCGCGTTGCTGGATGATCAGTCGGTAAAATGTTGGGGTGCCAATTATAACGGTAGACTTGGGCAGGGCCACACCAACGTCATTGGTGATCATTCCGGTGAAATGGGAGACGACCTCTTGGCCGTCGACCTAGGGACAGGCCGCACGGCCAAACAAATTTCAGCCGGGTTTTCTCACACCTGCTCCTTGCTGGATGATCAGTCGGTAAAATGCTGGGGTTTCAATTCTTACGGTCAACTTGGGCAGGGCCACACCAACAACATTGGTGATCATTCCGGTGAAATGGGAGACAACCTCTTGGCCGTCGACCTAGGAACAGGCCGCACGGCCACACAAATTTCAGCCGGGGGTTCTCACACCTGCGCGTTGCTGGATGATCAGTCGGTAAAATGTTGGGGTTTCAACATGTACGGTCAACTTGGGCAGGGCGACACCAACAACATTGGTGATCATTCCGGTGAAATGGGAGACAACCTCTTGGCCGTCGACCTAGGAACAGGCCGCACGGCCACACAAATTTCAGCCGGGGTTTCTCACACCTGCGCGTTGCTGGATGATCAGTCGGTAAAATGTTGGGGTGCCAATTATAACGGTGGACTTGGGCAGGGCCACACCAACGTCATTGGTGATCATTCCGGTGAAATGGGAGACAACCTCTTGGCCGTCGACCTAGGAACAGGCCGCACGGCCACACAAATTTCAGTCGGGCATTCTCACACCTGCGCATTGCTGGATGATCAGTCGGTAAAATGTTGGGGTCTCAACATGTACGGTGAACTCGGGCAGGGCCACACCAACAACATTGGTGATCATTCCGGTGAAATGGGAGACGACCTCTTGGCCGTCGACCTAGGAACAGGCCGCACGGCCAAACAAATTTCAGCCGGGTTTTCTCACACCTGCGCCTTTCTGGATGATCAGTCGGTAAAATGCTGGGGGGGAAATGGCCAGGGTCAACTCGGGCAGGGGCATACTAGCTCGCTTGGCGATGGCCCGTTTGAGATGGGGGAGTATCTTCCTGCAATTGTTTTCGGTGCCGTTGATTTAAGCATCCAAACACAGGCCCGCCTTGTGGACGGCACGAGGACAACAGGCCGCGTGCAGGTTCAATATCGAAACTCTTGGCGCGATGTATGTGACAATGAGTGGAGTGACACAAATGCACAAGTGCTTTGCCGGCAGCTCGGCCTAGCAGGTGGCGTCTCAAGACTTGCCTTGCAAGGAAACAGTGAGTTCGGTATGGACGATGTCTCTTGCATCGGCACAGAAGCGGACTTGGGGCAGTGCGCCTTCAATGGCTGGGGTATACATGATTGTAGCGCTGGAGAATCAGCTGGTGTTGAATGCCACATGGATGCTTGGAGCAACCTTAGCAATCTGAACATATCGGCCCGTAGGGGCCACACAGCAGTATGGGATGGTAATTCGTCCATGCTAGTCTTTGCAGGACATGCGGCAGGCTTTTTCCAATACTATGACGACCTGTGGCGGTACCATGGCTCCAATGACTTTTGGGAAAGACTTCGAGATGGACCTTCACCTAGAGGTGGCCACTCGGCAGTCTGGGACCCTCTTTCCCGCACCATGTTAGTCTTTGGTGGAAGCTACTACACGACGCATTATGATGACCTTTGGGCATATAGCGCGACCAGAGACTCCTGGACCCTTTTGTCTTTGTCTCCAAAGCCACACCGAAGAGCGTATCACTCGGCTGTTTGGCATGCTTTCAGGAAAAATATGTTGGTTTTTGCCGGGGACAGTGGTGTGACCTTTCAGGACCTATGGACTCCGATGGCCCCTCCTGGGCGATACCCAAGTCCTGGGTCTCGAGAGGATCACACCACTGTGTGGGATCCGAGTTCAGGTTTCATTTATCTGCTTGCTGGCTTTGGTGGATCATACAAGTCTGACTTCTGGAGATACAAAAGTTTAGACTTGCAAGAGATTCCCTTCGAAGAGTGCGCCCTGGGCCAGGAATGCAATTTGCAGTTCAAGGGTTGGAGTTTTGAAGCAGGCGACAGGCTCCAAGTTCAGGACTTTTTCAACGCCTCTGACGTTTATTTCTTCATGACATTGGATGGCCAAAATTTCTCCTTGACACTTGAAAATGCCACAGATGGCAACGCAGACGAATTTGATGCCGGTGCGTATTTGGATGGAGAACCTGGCTTGTATCGAATTCGTCAATGCTCGGATTCAGCGTGTGGCCAGTGGTCGGAATTGGGATTGCTGTTGGTGGTGGGCCCCTTCTCAGGCCAGTCGTTTGTTTGCGATTTGGGGTCCCAGTGTGTGGTTGCCGGTTTGCAAGGTTCACGGCTCACAAGGGGTGACCAGTTGGTTGCCTTGAAGGAATGCGGTACATCGATCCAAACATCGACTTTCAAAGCTCAGCCAATCAACGCATCCCTGGACGCCCTGACTGATCTGCTCTTCGATTTTGGACATCTGGAGTTGAATGGCTTGGCGCCGGAAGAAGTGCAACTTTGCTGGTGCCCCGAGGGCTGCAGCGAGCCGGAAGAGTTTCGGGCGTTGGCAATGGTCCTGTACGTGGTGTGCCCTCCAGGACATAAACCCGTGAAACCCTAGGAAAACACACATTGACATAACATGACAATACATGACATAAATCCATTCAAATGACAATGAATGATAGATTCAGGATCAAACATATCAACTTAAAGATAGATGGAGGCACAACACATTTTCAGGGATGTCGTTTTCTCCTTTCAGAGCAATTCTGGATGGAGTTGCGCAACCTTGTCCTTTTCAGTTTTCCCGTTTGAGCCTGTTAGATCTCTGAGTTTAATTTGTTCAGTCTCTTAATCTGGCCCTGATTTGCACAAACAGCTTTGAACTCGTGGTATCAAGTGTTAGAAGGCAAGCATCTCACTTTGTCCCTGGACTAGACTCCTACCTTCTTTGGTTTTGCTTTACATTGCTGATTGCCTGATTAGCTTGCTCTCAACAGTTTGCGTTGGAATCAGTTTGCATCGAGCTGTAGTCATGCCAAGTTTTTGAGTAGGTCTCGGAATGTTTTTACTTCAGCCCCCTGCAGGATGGTATGAGTTGCAGAGCACAACATCGAAATGCCACCAGTGCCCTCCTGGAAGCTATTGCCCTGGTGGCAGAGCCGTCGATTCACACGAGTCATTGCTCTATGACTGCCCCCAAGGAAGTACATCACCCAGTGGTTCTGTTTCCATCGAAGCTTGTGAATGCAGGCGTGGATATTCCTGGGACTTACAGGCCAGTGCTTGTTCAGTGTGCCCTGCATGGCATTTCAAGAACCACACTGGGCCTGACCTTTGTCAAAGCTGTCCACAGCAAACAATTTCAAAAGAAGGTGCCATAGGAGTACAGGAATGCTTTTGCCCTGCTGGTCAAGTCGACGTTGATTCCAGTGAGAGCTTCCATTGTGTCGACGTATCTACAATGGGAGATGCAGTCAGCAATGTTATTTTTGCCCGAACAGAAGCACTGATGTACAGTTTCACAGGTTCAGTGACGTCATTCAGTGGTTCTTTGGAGTTGGTTCGTTCAGACTTGGTTGACTACTTGGCCTTGAGTCCTAGGGCATCCCTTCAGCTCACTGACGCCAATCAGCTTGACTACAAAATCACAACATCCGAAGAGGAAGAGGCAGCTGTTCTACATGCCAAAATGGACCAAGATGTTTTTGCTTCCCAGTTTATGATTCCGACCGCGGCATTGACCAGTGAAACCAAAGTGACCAGAAGTTCCACTGTGACCGAGATGCTGCGTTGTCCAGATGGTTTGGGGTTTGTGGGTGGCAGTTTGATTCGGAACCAGTCCGACTGCAAGTGCATTCATGGCATGGAGCCTCTCGGTGAATCAGGTTTGACTAGCGGTTGTGCTAAATGTCCACGAGGAAAGTACAAGCCGACGGTTGGGGATGTAGCTTGTCCCTCATGTGGCGGACTGACAACGTTGCTGGAAGGAACCATTTCCAGTTCAGCTTGTACCTGCCCACCCGGATTCGTCAATGACGTGGTTGATGACCCTACGAACTGTCAGCCCTGTGGAAAGGGTTTCTACTGCAGCGGTGGAAAGGACAAGAAAAGTTGCGGGCAATCTCTTACAACTGCCTTAGAGACCGCTCAAGATGCAGCAGAATGCGTTTGTGCCGCAGGATTTTTTCGAGTTGAATCCACGTGTGAACCCTGCCCAGCCGGCACGTTCAAAGCGGATATCTTCGATGGTGCTTGCGAACCGTGCCCTGTTGGAAGATGGAGCAACGAATCAGCAGCAGCACAAGAAGATTCGTGCAATTTCTGCAGTCCAGGTTCCACAACTCGTGAAACTGGAGCTGGAGATTTGAGTTTCTGTGTCAGGCCACAGCCAGGACAAATTGTGCAATGTACATCTGGCACCACATGCAGTGTGGAAATCACGGGCTTCGAGCTGCAAGATGGTCATCGCCTTGCCTTGACGGAGTCGAGTTGTGCTGTTGGCAAGGTGGCCGTGTCTGGTGTCGTTGCCCAAGGCATCTCCAAGCCTGCGACATATGGAGGAAGTCGATATGTTTGGGGAGACAGTGCCGATGAATTTGCCCCACAAGGAGGCTTGTACAACTTGTGTTGGTGTGCTGGAATGCGAGAGCTCGTTTGCGACAGTCTCAGAAACTATTTCATTGTGTCAGCAGGACAGCTTGAAGTCATAGGCCCTTTGGACGGTCATGAATTTGATTGCGTTCGAGGTCAGGACTGTTCTGGGCTGACGCATTTTCAGGGACATGAACTTTCCTCACAGAACCAAGTGGCGCTCCGCAATGCATGTGCCGGCCCGAAGCCTCTTTCAGTATCATCTTCAAATCCGAATGGGCTTGGTAGTCTTGTTGCTTCAGATGGTGGATTTTCCCTGTCTTTCGGTGAAGTCTTGCTGGATGCAGACGAAGTTGGCTATTCGATTTGCTGGTGTGGAACGTCCTGCAACATGGCCTCAGATTTTGCAGTTCCCGCTGGCCGCTTGCGAGTCTTGGGCCCTTCTGCCAACCAGCAGGCGAAATGCTTCTTGGGGCACCACTGCAGCTTGCCAGACATCGAGGGGGTCAGTTTGATGATGGACGACAAGATCATGCTTCGCACTGATTGTGACGCCGGCCCCATGCTGCCGGGAAGTCCGGGCGATGGCATTGCTTCCAGGAATGACTCTCGGAGCTTGAGAAGTTCGCAGTAAGCTGGTAAACCTGAAAT